CAGGAGGATCTTCGAGGAGTTGGGGGAGGGGAAATGATCAAAATATACTGTATGAAAAATTTAAATAAAAAATAGCAAAAAGAAGATAGTAACAACTACTACGATATGAATTCACCACATATGATCTCTCCAAACTAAAAGCTGAGCAGGCAGCACAAAGACAACTAGACATGAAAATACACTTCAGCAACACCAAACAGAGACTGTCATGAACTGGAAAAGATCTATAAGGTTGAGAAACAACAATAAACTCCACAAAGTTCTCACTGGGTTTTTGTTGCTACAAGTTGAAAGGGTATATACAATATAGGTTTAAAACATTCTGGAAAGAAAAGAACAGACCAACATGTGTTCACATAAAAGACCTGTCCATGAACATTTATAGCAGCTTTCTTTACAACTGCTCAAAGATTAGAGCAATTCAAATGTCTTCCAAGCGGTAAATGGATGATGGACAGAGTCTATATAATGGAATGTTACTCATGAATAAAATGAAATGATTGCCAATTTTAAAACAGGATGGAACAAACACATGTTTTTATTTTCTAGTAAGCACAGCACAAACCATGGATACTTTTTATAAAAACCATGAAAACTCCAAGTTGAAGAGAAGAAAGCCAACCAATTAGACATGAGGACCCGAAGAAAGGCATGGAGTGACTAGATGAGGAAGTTAATTAACTTAGTTTTGTTCACTTCACACAGACGTAAAGACATTAGAAACCTGGAAACATCAGTGAGTAATCTAGATTTTAAAAAAATGTCCTTTGAAAGGACTCCATCCAATTCTCCCTAGCTCAATAATCAAGATATAGGGTACTCAGAAAAGCAAACCTTTATAAGCTAATGTCCACTGGCTCCTCCACGAAAAAGCGAAAAACAAATTCAAATAACAACTAAAGTTATTGCTCTACACATACGCACACACACACATTAATGGCCAAAGCTTAGAGGGTGAGGAGAGCTAGTTTTACTTTGCATATGTATGTCTGTAGAGAAAATCAAAACATTCTGAGAAGGAAAATTAAGAGCATGTGTCACCCATAGATCTACCCTAGAAGAACGGCAAAAAAAGGGAATTACTTAAACAAAATGACAAAAGGAATGTCAATTCAGGAAGAAAGAAACACGGACAGAGCAAAATGGGTAAATAATATTACATTTGCCTTCTTTTCTGAATTAAGTTGGATGGCTGAAGAAAAGAATTCTAACACTGGCATAGTTCACAATGTTTAAGACAAAAAATATTAAAAATGGGAGAGAGGGAAAGGTTTAAGAGGAGGCGAGATGTCTATAACTGGTGAAGTGGTGACAATAGATTATCATACATAGTTTATCATACATGTACATAGTTTAGTATCTAAAACAACCACTAAAAAGAACCTATGTAACAAGATACACTATAGATAAAAAAGTACTAAAGATAAAAATGTAATTTTAAATTATGTTCAAGTAAATTCCGGAAATAGAAGACAGTACACAAGACAGATTTAAGCCTATCAATAATTACATTAAAAATAAATGGTAAAAATTCACAAAACAGAACATTACTCCTTTAAAAATATATTTTATCTATTATTTATGTGTATTGGGGGAAATTTATGCATACATGAAAGTATAGGCATTTGATCTACTGGAGTAATAGAGTTCCAGACAGTTGCCAGTCATTTGGTGTGGGTACCTGAACTTGGGTCCTCTGCAAGAGCAATATACATTTTTAATCACTGAGCCATCTTTTCAGCCCCAGAAATGACTTTAAGTTTTATTCTTACTTTATGTGTATGAATGTTTTGTCTTCATGTATGCCTGTGCACCACATGCCTGCTTGGTGCATACAGAGGCCAGAAAAGGTTCTTGGAGTCTCCTAGCTAGAATTACAGATGGTTATGAGCCACCCTGTGGGTGCTGGGAACCCAACCCAGATCCTTTACAAGAGCAGCAAGTGCTCTTAAAGAATGGAGCCATCTCTCTAGCAACTCTCTTACCCAGAATGACTTTTAAAAGTGACATATCTGCCGGGCAGTGATGGCACACACCTTTAATCTCTCAGTTCGAGGCCTGCCTGGTCTACAGAGCGAGATCCAGGATAGGCACCAAAACAACACAGAGAAACCTTGTCTCGAACCCATCCACCACCCCCCCCCCCCGCAAAAATGACATCATCTAAAAGTGACTACACATAGTTCAGATTTGTACAAAAAAGTCAATCTCAAAGGCTATGCACACTCATATTCTATTCCTACACCCTTCTTCCTCCTCCCCCCACTTCTTTGTGTGCACGTTTGTGTGTGTGTGTTACTCAAGACTGAGCCTAGGACCTCCCAGCACACAAGGAAGCACTTCACCAGTGCTGACATTTCCAGCCCTCACACAGTTTTGAAATGACAATATATGGACAAGGAGACAGAAAAGAGGTTTGAAAAGGGTTGGGATGGTGGTGCAGAGAGGAGTATGACTATCGGGGTGGCAGGAGCGACAGCTTTAAGAAGACATTAGTATGTTCTCTATCTGGATTGTAGTGTTGGTTCCACACATACATCTATGCTATAATAAAGTGGTATATAATCATACAATAAAATGTATCAATACAAATTTCTTTAGTCATGTAAGATGTAACTACTGGGGAAAACTGAGTAAAGAGCACAAAGACCTCTTTGCACTACCTTTACAACTTCTTGTAAATCTCTCTCTCTCTTTTTTTTTTCCTCCGGAGCTGAGGACCGTACCCAGGGCCTAGCAAGCGCTCTACCACTGAGCTACATCCCCAACCCCTCTTGTGAATCTATAATCTCAAGTTAAAAACATTTTTTAAATAAATGTCCAAAGTTGACATCTAGCCCTTAAACTTAAGAGTGTGAAGTTGGGTTTACTTAACCAGTACGTGCATTGATTATCTGTCAAGCTACAGCAAAAAAAGAAAAAAAAAAGGGCTGGAGTTTGGCTCGGTGGTAGAACTTAACCCTGTGTGTGCCTAGCATCAGGAAACAGAACATTAGAAAGAAGATTCACTACTATTATAGGCAACAATGTGAATGAATATCAAAAGGAGTATATTAAGCAAAAAAAAAAGGCAGACACAAAAAACTGGATGTATTATTATATGAGTCTATTCAAATGACATTTTGGAAAAAGCAAAAAACGACAGATACAGAGAACAGATTGTGGTTGCCAAGAGTGGAGTGTGAAGAAGAGGGGATTGAACTGCATTTATGAATGCCTTTTGATATACTTTCTTCTTTTGAAGTCATGCTAATAGTCTACATCCTCAACAATAAAACCAGGGAGCCGGAAAGACAGCTTAGTCAATAAAGAGCCCGTGATGCTCCTTCTTTCAGAGGACTCCAGTTAGGTTCCAGGTACCCAGACCAGGTGGCTCATGACAGCCTGTAACTCCACCTTCGGGGGATCAAACACCTCTGATGTTTGCAAACACATCTTCATGTGTGGTATATACCTGAACACACACGCACACAATACACATAAATTAAAACTAAATTAAAAAAAACTAAACCAACAAGAACTAAATCAAGAAACCTAAATGGTATGTAAATAAAACAAACTAATCCAACTAACAGTACTTCAAATGACTATAACAACCAACCTTAAGCAGGGAAGGGAGTAGTGGAAGAGGCCTTATTCAAAGAATTTCACCTTAGGCTCTCAGTCTAGGAGTAAAATCTGCAAACAAATCTTGGAATGTCTTTTTCTTTTTCTGTTGAGACAGGGTCTATACAGCCCTGGCTGTCCTAGGATCTCTATGCAGACCTCGTTGCCTCAAATGCACAGAAATCCACCTCCTCTGATTCCTGAATGCTAGGATTAAAGGCATGCACCACAACGCCTGGCTTAGGACTATTTTTAACAGGTAAACTTAAGTTGAAAATCAATAAAACAGAAACTATAAGCAAATAACAATAAAACTTTATTATCTTTATTAGCATCAAGACAGCTGATAAAAACAGAAAAAAAAGAACCTCTAAGATCATATATAGTATTAGTACAGACTAATACAGAAAGGTAATGCCTTCAGGAATGGGAGTTTTCATCATTAGGAGAGTGAATTATAGTCTGGAGCAGCAATAAAAAAGGAACAATGTTTCCTTGCCCTGAGGTATGTGGGTTATTTACCTCCTCATTTCAGGGGATATTCAGATATCAACTGAAGCAAAGACACAGAAGGTCCCAGCATGAAGGAGTCTTGGTAGCTTCAGATCCATAACTTAGGGTATGGATCTGAAGGGGAGGGAAGAAGTAGAAGACTAGGCTAGAAGAGGAATTTTACAGCGTAGTCAGACCATTAGGAATGTGGATGATAAAGATACCAAATCTGCCAGGCAGTGGTGGTGCACGCCTTTAATCCCAGCACTCAGGAGGCAGAGCCAGGCAGATCTCTGTGAGTTCAAGGCCAGCCTGGCCTACAGAGCAAGCTCCAGGACAGGCACCAAAACTACACAGAGAAACCCTGTGTCGAAAAAGAAAAACAAAAAACAAAAAACCCACAAACAAAAGAATAATAATACCAAATCTGCAGGAAAAGTGCTGGCAACTTTAGGGTGTCCACTAGTTTGAGTGTCTTGTCTCGTGTGTGTGTGTGTGTGTGTGTGTGTGTGTGTGTGTGTGTGTGTGTGTGTCTCCCTAAAAGCTCTGTAGAGTGTCACGAGTTCTTCGAAAAGACATCCTCTGAAAATACTTCCCAAATATCCACTGCTAGGAAGTCAGAGGCAATTACCCATGACCTTGCCATACCTTAATGCTTATAGAGATATGTCATTTAACCCACATCCAATAAAAATAAGTTGAATATGTAATGATTTGCCATAAGCTGAGTGGACTAGATGAAAAAATGAACTGGATTATTAGCTTGGTAAAGAAATGATATATGAGTTCCATTTTGAAGATTCTGAAATATTAAAAATAAGAAGCTGGTCTAAGAACATAAAGTAGAGAATTATTTCAAGGTAATTTTGGTGAAAAAATAAAAATAAAAAAGATATGCTTACTGTACAACAAGCTGCTGGCACACAGTTCCATTCTCTGTTATCAGTTCATTCAGTTTTAATTCAAGGTGAACTTTTCCCTGTGACAAAAAAAAAAAAATCATAAACGGAACAGTCTATTTTGCTAACAAAATATTACAATGTACTTTTGTCCAAATGGCACATATATTTAATAATAATTCACTAACCACTATCACATGGCTCTGCATACACTTGGTTGTTAAGTGTATAATAACCAACAATATATATATATCAAAGTTCTGAAAGAAAACAGTTTAATACTTGTATTAAATACAATATGCAAAAAATTTAAGAACTTTATGCCCTGTTTAAACATAAACATAAGTGTTTATGTACCTTAATGACCACAGTTTTTCCTTAAAGATGGCACCTAAGTTTTTGGAAAAATTAAGAAATTAATTTCTAAAGCTATAAAATTATGTAAAAGACAGTAAGAATCAATATTTTAAAACTTACTTCTATCAACTACTAAAGATTGATTTAATATATGCTATATTTTAGGAGGTACTATGGGAACAGATGGGAACAAGCAGATGTCTAAGACACAGGCACTACCTACCAGAAGTTCACAAACTAGCCAGGGATACATAACTTAAAGAGTAACAATACATGGCCAAAACCACTGATGGAAGGACTGGAATAAAACAGTTCTCTCTGATGCACAGCTGTTAAGAGGTGGGTTTAAAACACAGTTTAGTAAGTTGAAAGCAAGTCAAGCCGTCAACTTCCTTAAGAAAAGAGCTTAGGGCCGGGCGGTGGTGGCGCACACCTTTAATCCCAGCACTTGGGAGGCAGAGCCAGGCGGATCTCTGTGAGTTCGAGGCCAGCCTGGTCTCCAAAGCGAGTTCCAGGAAAGGCGCAAAGCTACACAGAGAAACCCTGTCTCGAAAAACCAAAAAAAAAAAAAAGAGCTTAGGAACAACATAATCTAGAGCTTGGTTATCTTCTCCCTTCACTGGTGATGAGTAACTCTAAACTGGTTAACAATTAGTGCTGCATTACCTCTACTCAACTGACAAGACAAATACCCACAGTGCCAAGTGGAGATCTTAGGGTATATCGTCTAGCGGCTGGTGAACTGAGAGATCTTATCAGAGGTAGGGGTATTTACTCTCTAGTTATGGCTTCTCTTCAGAGCTCTTTTAGACATTCATTCAAAGAATCTAACCTGAATCAGTTTTACTGCTCTATGGGGACTTGTCTTACAAGAACACATCTCAGGACTATGAGCTATGAAGTTCAGGGTTAGATGAATACCACGTGACAAACAACAACTAGTTATGAGTCATAATGCAAAGGTCTGCACAAGAGGATTAAGCTCTGAAGCAACAAAAGGCATCAATGTATAAAATGAGTAGTTATGTAGAGCTGGAATTAAACCGAGAAACAGTCCAGGAACCTCTAGACACATACTGATATAAATCACACATCTCTTACACACTATGTCTTTCACCATTCCTGCATTTATAGCATTCACAACCTCTGTGATTCAAGACTGGCCTTGAAGGTCCATACTACATAGCAATTTCTAGTATTACTCAACTGGAACTTTAAGTCACATTTTCTGTCATGCCAGCATGTGTATGTTACTTACCCAGAAAGGCAGTTTATATAACTGAGCAAACATCTGCATGTTAAAGCAGTTTCACTATTTTAAAACATACACATTTTGTAGTACTTCCATATGTCTCTCAGGAAATGTCTAGGACCTATTCTATTTCTAAAACAATAAAAACCATTAAAATAGAGAAAGAAAACTATTCACAACTAAAATCACAGTACATAATCCTAGAAATAAAATATTTAATGAAACTTTACCAGGAATTATTATCACTGATTCAAGCCAAGCTAGTATGTTAATTACTCCTACTAATGGTCAAGAGAGCATTCCTTTGGTATTAGTTAATAACTAATATATTAACCCGGTCAAGAAAATACTTAAGATAGAACAAATAGATACACATTATTAAGGAGGAACACTAAAACTGAAAGTTTAAATTAAGGAATTATAATTTATAAACAATAAAACAGCAGTTAATTGTCTACTGAAAATTATTTATTATTATTAGTGTGAGTGTGTGTGGCCACTGGTACTGCATGGTGCTGCATAGGTCAGAAGTTGTCCCCTCTACCTTTACATGGATTCTGGAGATAAAGGTCAAGGTGTCAGGTTTGTGACACAGAATGCTTTACCCACTGAAGCATCTTCCCAGCCCTCATTGTCTACTTTCATAAAAAGATGATAGTTGGTTTATAAAAAAACAAAAATAGTTACAGCCGGGTGGTGGTGGTGGTGCACACTTTTAATCCCAGCACTTGGGAGATGGAGGCAGGTGATCTCTGAGTTCAAGGCCAGCCTGGTCTACAGAGCAAGTTCTAGGATAGCCAGGGGTCACAGGGCTATCTCAACAACAAAAACAATTGCAAATATGGTGTGTAATGTTAACTTGGGAACATAAATAATACATGTGCAAATTACTACACCAGTATTCACCAAAATACTGAGTATTCCTGTATTGCCTTTAGTAAAGAAAGTGAATGTATATTTTAAATTATACAAAGCTGCTTTTCAGTGTTAAAAAGCCAAATCTGCACTGAGCGTAGTGATATGCACCTGTAATCCTGGCACCTAGGAGGCTGAGGCTGAAAGAATGGTAAATTCGAGATCAGCATACACTATATAGCCAATCACTTTCTCAAAAAAAAAAAAAAAAAAAAAGGGCAGATATGTGAACATTTTAGAAAAATGAGTCTTCCCTGATTATTTTCACACAAATTTCTTACATCTTTCACCACTGTGTAGATGTGGATTAACAGCCCAAAATTATTTCCAGTATGTTTACATTTCAATGCCAGTAGTCTACCAAAAATTACTACACAGATGACAAGAATAAAATATACCTGTATGTGTGTGTGTGTGTGTGTGTGTGTGTGTGTGTATGTATGTGTGTAAAAAGAATAGCAGATTTTAAGGTGAGTGGGAGTTCAAAATAGCTTTCTTAAATTTTTAAAAAAAACATCACTATTTAGTCCAGGCCAGCCTCAAACTCACAATATGTACCCCTGGGATTTTTTTGTTAATATTTTTATTATTATTTTTTTTTACATGTCGACTGCAGTCTGTTTTTTGTTTTTTAAACACAGAAGAAAGTAAAAAAATCTAGCAAATACCTGGAAACTATGATATGAATTAAATAAAAAATTTAGAATTAAATAATAAAGTAACTGAAATGAGATGTATTTAATATCAAATCAGCAATAGCTGAAGAGGAATAAAAAAGAGAGGCTAATCAGTAGAAAATACTCATAAAGAAGCCCAGAGAAGGGAAAAACATAAGAGACATGTATATATACTGATCAGTATCAAATAAAAATGCATGAAAATTTATGCATATTCTGAAAAAACAGAGGTACTCAGGTTAAATGCAATGCATAAAGATAAAATCCTCTCATATCTAGACAGTCTTTAAATCATAAACATTTAAATATTAATAATTTCCTTATAAAAACTCAGTATGTTTCAGGGTTAGTAAGACTGCTCCGTGGTTAAGAATGCTGGCTGCTCCTGCAGAGGACCCTCGTTTAAATCCAAGCATCCACACAGCAGCTCACAACCACCTGTAACTTCAGCTCTGGGAGACCCGGTGCCTCTTCTGGATTCTAAGAGCACCAAATATGCACATGGTGCACATACATACACACATGTAGACACTCACACAGACATATAAAATAAACAAATCTAAAAAACAAATTAAAAAGAACTTGGTATGTTTCAACTATTTTTAAAAAATCAAACATATGGCTTCTGACAGATTTCTGCTGCTTGTTTCTGAGATCAAGTCTTGCTATACTGCCTAAGTGGTTGGTTCCCAAAGTCAGAGTAGGTAATCTTCCTGCCTCAGCCTCCAGAGGAGCTGGAATTATAGGCACGCATCACCACAGCAGCTGACATAGCTTTATCTATAGAAATTGCTTCTATAAATAATTTTGGACACAACTGCCTGTCACATAAAACACAAAGTTTTACTTTATAACATCTTATATTGGTGGCAATTCTTTAAAAAAAAAAACTTGTTTTTCTCTTTAAACAATAATTTAATAATGAGATAGAGTAGGGCATAGGGATGCATGCCTGTAGTTACAGCACTCAGGAGGCAGAAGTAAGAAGATCTCTTGAGTTTGAGGCTAGCCTGGTCTACACAGTGATTTCCAGGCCAGTCAAGGCTACATAGTGAGACCATGCTTCAAAATAAATAAATAAATAAAAATTAAGAAATTAAATTAAAAAAAGATAGGATGGCTAATTTGTTTTTTCCCCATGTACAAATTTGTGAATGAAATGAAGTTTTACAAATCAATCTATAATAATGAATTATGCCTTTATGTTCACTATGCCTTAATTGAGCATGTATTTAATAAATTAGTATAGGTTTCTTCTTAAACATTTGTCTAAAATAGTTTTAAAACAAAGGCCATGAACAAAAATTATATAACAACAACTTATAGTGATCCAGGTGGTCAAGATTATCCTGTTGGGTAAGAGTTAATAAGTAATTGCATCAAAAAGATGTAACTGACATTACATCTGGGCTTGCTGTCTGTACAAGTTGGGTGGGACATCACCCATAGTTAACATTCTTATGTAAAGTATGTTCTGTATCATGGCGCCTAAAAAATAAGAATGAAACAACGCTTAAAAGCTGTGATTTCCGCCGGGCGGTGGTGGCGCGCGCCTTTAATCCCAGCACTGGGGAGGCAGAGGCAGGTGGATCTCCGTGAGTTCGAGGCCAGCCTGGGCTACCAAGTGAGTTCCAGGAAAGGCGCAAAGCTACACAGAGAAACCCTGTCTTGAAAAACCAAAAAAAAAAAAAAAAAAAAAAAAGCTGTGATTTCCAGCATCTTTACAGCTAAGAGGATAGCTGCAGGCACTAAAACCAAACACAATTTACAATTTACAGAAGGCACTGGTACAAGCTGTACTAACTTTGCTTGTATGGAAGAAAATACAGGAAAAGCACACCATGTGGCACACAATGACTACCAGAACCAGAACCAGGAC